TGTATTTCCTGTTTATGTAAATGTTGGTATTGATGTATTTCCTGTTTATGTAAATGTTGGTATTGATGTATTTCCTGTTTATGTAAATGTTGGTATTGATGTATTTCCTGTTTATGTAAATGTTGGTATTGATGTATTTCCTGTTTATGTAAATGTTGGTATTGATGTATTTCCTGTTTATGTAAATGTTGGTATTGATGTATTTCCTGTTTATGTAAATGTTGGTATTGATGTATTTCCTGTTTATGTAAATGTTGGTATTGATGTATTTCCTGTTTATGTAAATGTTGGTATTGATGTATTTCCTGTTTATGTAAATGTTGGTATTGATGTATTTCCTGTTTATGTAAATGTTGGTATTGATGTATTTCCTGTTTATGTAAATGTTGGTATTGATGTATTTCCTGTTTATGTAAATGTTGGTATTGATGTATTTCCTGTTTATGTAAATGTTGGTATTGATGTATTTCCTGTTTATGTAAATGTTGGTATTGATGTATTTCCTGTTTATGTAAATGTTGGTATTGATGTATTTCCTGTTTATGTAAATGTTGGTATTGATGTATTTCCTGTTTATGTAAATGTTGGTATTGATGTATTTCCTGTTTATGTAAATGTTGGTATTGATGTATTTCCTGTTTATGTAAATGTTGGTATTGATGTATTTCCTGTTTATGTAAATGTTGGTATTGATGTATTTCCCGTTTATGTAAATGTTGGTATTGGTGTATTTCCTGTTTATGTAAATGTTGGTATTGGTGATTCCTGTTTATGTAAATGTTGGTATTGATGTATTTCCTGTTTATGTAAACGTTGGTATTGGTGTATTTCTCTTTATGTAAATATTAGTATTGGTCGAGGTTTGATGATGTTGACTTGCAGCTAATTGCCTGTCACATGACCAGGTCCATTTCTTCTTCTTCTTCTTCTTCTTCTTCTTCTTCTTCTTTTCAAGGTACAGTCCATACCACTTAAGTGTATTCTTGGACCTTACAAAAATACAACGTGTAATCAATTATCTGTAAAAGCTGGTCATGTAAAAGTATACTTTGATTATAAGTGAATGGCATGACTAACCTTCCTATCTATTGTAGTGAACTTACGCCTGCCGTGACGACATCGTTGTAGTGTGGGCGTTGTTGTTGTGTTAGCGTTGTTACTGTGAAGGCGTTGTTGTTGTTGTTGTTGTTGTTGTGTTGGCGTTGTAGTTGCGTAAACGTTGTTGCAGTGCCGACATTGTTGTAGTGTCGACATTGTTGTTGTGTGGACGTTCTTGTTTTGTGGATGTTGTTGTTGTGTGGACGTTGTTGTTGTGTGTGCATTGTTGTTTTGTTGGCGTTTTTGTTGTGTAAACGTTATTGCAGTGCCGACATTGTTGTAGTGTAGTCATTGTTGTTGTATGTGCTTTGTTGCAGTGCCGACATTGTTTTGTGGATGTTGTTGCTCTGTATGCGTTGTTGCTGTGTGGGCGTTGTTGTTGTATGGGCGTTGTTAATATGTGTGTTGCTGTTGTTGTTGTTTTGTAGGCTTTGTTAGTGTGTTGGAGTTATTGTTGTGTAGGTGTTCATGTTGCGTATGCTTTGCTGTTATACGGGCGTTGTTGTTGTGTAGGTGTTGTTATTGTGTAGACGTTGTTGTTGTGTAGACGTTGTTACTGTGTAGACGTTGTTGCTGTGTATGCATTGTTACTGAGTAGGTGTTGATGTTGTGAAGGTTTTGATGCTGTGTAAACGTTGTTATTGTGTAAACGTTGTTATTGTTTAGGCGTTGTGGTCTAGCTGTTGATGTTGTGTAGACTTTGTTGCTGTGTAGGCGTTGTTGTTGTTGTTGTTGTGAGGATGTTGTTGTTGTATGGGCATTGCTGTTGTATAGGCGTTGTTGTTGTTGTGTGGGCGTTGTTTTTGTGAAGGCGTTGTTGTGTGGGTGTTGTTGTTGTGTAGGCGTTGTTGTTGTTTATATGTTGTTGCGTAAGTGTTGTTGTTTGTGTATACGTTGTTTCTGTGTAGGTGTTTTTGTTGTGTGGGCGTCGTTGTTGCTGCGTAGGTGTTTTTGTTGTGTGGGCGTTGTTGTTATGTGAGTGATGTTGTTGTGAATGTGTTGATGTTTTGTAGACGTTGTTGCTGTGTAGTCGTTGTTGTTGTGAAGGCTTTGTTGTTGTGTAGACGTTGTTGTTGTGTATGTGTGTTGTGTAAGCGTTGTTGCAGTAACGTCGTTTTTGTTATATTAAATATCATGGTTGTGTAGACATGATTGTGACGTCGATGTTGTTATTATGAATACACGTTATTTGATATATTTACATTTGCCCCCGCGCCGTCCCATTACAACAGTGTTAGAGGGCAAGTGTAATTATAAAGGCTATAATTACAACTGCTCGACTATAATTACGACTGCCTGTTTCAGGTGTAGGAATATGTAAACAAAGAAAATGGCCGCCTGAAATGTATTTTGAGGCAGGGCAAATGGTTTTAATAATTACATCCAGACAACCAGTTATTGTTTAAATACATTGTTGTGATGTATACTTTGTGATGTCGACATTGTTTTGGTGTCGGTATTGTTTATATGTACAATGTTGTGGTGTCGACATTTTAGTTATATAAAGTTAACATTGTTTTTGTTGACATTTAAATGTACTCGGAATTACATTCATAATGCAGTTTTAGATACTGAATCAAAGTACTATACATTTATAATCCACATCTTTACGAACAGGTGCTCTGGATGTGGTCGTATTTGAACATCGATATGATATATATTTGATTACAATGATGAGGATATTACCTAGATTATAGCTGTTGGGTGCTAATGACGTGGCTACTTTTACGTCACTAATACAATTTGATGAGCTGCTGTTGGATTTATATACGCACCAGTATACACAGGTTTGACATGACAACGCTAGCCCTATCACATGAGCTCAATCACATATCATCCCTGCAGACCAGGATTGGGTAAAGATTACACTTGCTGTTACCCAATGTAGGTTGTAAGAGGCAAATAGTGTGTGGAATCCTCCTGCGTGATCGAGGTTTAGCTGGTGCGCTTTCGACTTGCATGGGGACACAAGAGCGACCCATTTTCTGAACCCATTGTAATTTGGTTGTCTACATTTGCTCTCTACTTCCTGACATGCTTTTTTCTACTCTAGCGCCTTGTTTGACAATACGTCACTTTTGGGTGTAGTATTGGACATTTTCCCTAATGGGAATGACAATGGGGTTTGTCCCCAGGCCGGGATGGAAGGTACAGTATTTCAGTGAGGTAGCACTCTGAAGTCGGTAAAGTGTATTAGATCCACACTACCGCAAGGAGGCAAATACACAAACATACAGCCTCCAGCATGCATCTCATACGTAACTATACACATGTAGACACGTCCTTAAATGGTGTAAGATTATGATGGGAAACTCAACCCAGTCCAAACATATCCCAATCCAAACGGCCAGCGTTGTTACTACACTACTCCTACCATCTGAGCGGCATTAGATGTGGGACAGTCTCCGTTAGGTATGAACTAATTAAGTGGTTTTTTTTCATGAAGGTCACCTTCATTACTGCAATACTTTTACATATGTATGCACAGTGTTTCTGTCCTTTAAAAAATAACACCATCGAAATCGTGTTCATTTAACAGTGCACTGCACCAACTAGTGGTTTTTTTCTATGCTATATCGGATTTTCACAAGCTACAATGACGGTTAACAAATTCCTTTAAGATATTCGAAAACATTTTTGTTTGGAAATGTTGTTGATACAAACGTAGACAACACATATACACTCCACTATGTGCCCTCACAGACGGTTTCTAGATTACGCGTGCGGTTTGCGCTAGGGTAACGCATTGTGATCCCACAGGCTGGCGTTAACAGAGTGATATTGTGTTTGACCGGTTTGAAGACAGTGACCAGACCTGTTAGCCGACAGGTTTATCCTCAATATAATCTCGCTTTGATATAAATATAATTAATTAAATACACGAACACTAGTCTCCAAGGGAAGCTGTCTCTGCGAATAGCCCGTTACCACGGAAACACATATGCTAGTGGTGTAGAATGGCCCGCTGAAATACTCCGTGTCATGCAGCCGTTGTTATGATATCATCACATGTGGCGTGGGCCAGGTGAGCTTATGCCGTGGTGCGGCGTCCATCGTCCGGCGTCCGGCGTCAATATGTTACTTTAAACAACTTCTTTTCAATAACAAAAAGGCCTATGGTGATGATATTTGGCCAGTAGCATGCTGGGATGAAGGGCTACAAATTTGTTCAAATGAATGACCTTGACCCACTTTCAAGGTCACAGGGGCCAAATGCCTTAAAATCTTCAAACAACTTCTTCTTAATAACCAAAAGCCCCAGGGTACTGATATTTGGCCAGTAACATGATGGGATGAAGGGCTACAAAGTTTGTTCAAATAAATGACCTTGACTTATATTCAATGTTACAGGGGTCAAATATGTTGAAACCTTTCAACCACTTCTTAATAGCCAAGAGGGCTAGGGTGATGATTTTTGGCCAAAAACATGCTGGGATGAAGGGCTACAAAGTTTGTTCAAATACATGACCTTGAATTATATTCAAGGTCACAGGAGTCAAATATGTTTATAACCTTTAAACAACTTCTTCTGTATAACCAAAAGGTCCATGGTGATGATATTTGGCCAGAAGGATGTAATTGTTGGCATGAAAGGCTACCAAGTTTGTTCAAATGAATGACCTTCGTCCATATTCAAGGTCACAAGGGTCAATTGTCTTGAAATCTTTAAATTACTTTTATATAACCAACATGTCCAGGGTGATGATATTTGAAAAAGGGCGTTGAACTCGGGTTCGGTGTCTGGACAATTATTGTTGATTTAGACATAAATGAAATTATCCATTGTTTCTTTTATGAGTGTTGATGCATACATAAATCATGTAAAGACTGTAACCAGACTTTCAAAAATTTAAATTATTTCGTTCATATTCTCAACAAATGGAAATCAAAAGCTGATGGAATTTTAGACGATGAAAAATAAACGTGCATGGTGACCTATTGGTTTAATGCGGCTCTTTTGGAAAATATCTCCCGGTAGAAATATTAACAGAATCTGGTTAATGTTAGAAAACATCCGCGTTTTTACTTTTTGTGCCTGTGGCAAAACTGAAATTAAAAAGTCAAGAAGCACCGACAAAGAGATAAATGCAACGGTCATCAGTTCCAAGATTTTCCGGTTATTTTTCATCCTTCCGGAAATAACCGATGAAGGCCGATGATGTGTGACGTGTTTGTGACGTCATAGAATGATAATCTCTGAACGAAGTTTCATGCCTATTAGTATCACATTTTATGTGATAAACTTTTTCACTCAGAATGTATATATTTTTTTTTATCTAAATAAACAAATAATAAAACGTGAAGATTGTTTTCACTATATGAAGATATTCATGTATGGGTTGAAACACAATTGTCTTTGCTTCAAGGATACACTTCCTGTTTCCCCACTGTACGTCTACTTCTGGACGAGAAAAAATAAAGGTAACGTGTAGAAAGGGGAAGCAACTCTGTATACGCACGCATGTGTAACCATTAAAGAGCTTCGCTCGGGTTCTTAAAATATAGATTATATAGTCAGACAGCTGTCATTCTTGGACATTCTTTACTGCCGATGAAGGAACATAAACAATGTGGAGTTTGTTACGCCTACACTATGTAAAAATCTTATTTTGTTTATATGTAAGAAGATATTTGAGTTGCTAGTTGTGAAACATTAACCTACTAAATCCGTGTGGTTAAAGAGAAATTGGTGTTTTATATTAAGAAATTTGCGAAAGTTCAAGGGGCCCCCGAAAGAATAACGTGAATCAATTACCAGCTGCATGGTTGGTTTTCTATTAACGTTATATTTGGTCTTTTTTATTCTATGTATGCGTATTTTTTAATATACCACACCTTTTAATTTGGTATTAATTCTGACTGACGGTGATACATTTTAATTAAAATTGCACGGATATTCAAGCTCGCGCACGATGGGAACCGTTTATATAGATTGTTGGCATTTTAGTTTAAACTTTCTTTTGCAGTTTTACAGTCAGTAAACATTACACAAAGATTCTAAAACAATAAGGACAGAATAATCGCGGGCTGACGGATGTTATTCAATTATACTGAGGACTATGTATGTAACAGATGAGGGGTGTAAGCAGTATGCCAGACTGTCCTGGAGATTTATGTGTCTCAGATGATTATTTCAGAGGGTAGGCTAGAATTCCAGCTCTTTTTCAAAGGCTGAATTTTTCAAACTATAGTTAGTTGGAACGTCTCCGATAAATTAACATATTCCACACAACAATAAGGCAGGCGGATTGACCTATCAATTAAAAAAAAATAACAACAACATCTTCAAGTACATGTATCATTATTAATATTTACGTGAAAATTCGTTTGCTCCCTTTTTGACGTATTTATGAGGTGATCGAGCACGTACGTTCATGTGCGATACCAACTTAGTATAGAAGAGTGTCTACACATATTTAACAACGTTGTTTGAAACAGGGACAAAGTGTATGTCACGACAGGCATGTTCTGGAAAATTAGAACTTAAAAAATATTGTATAATTTACATATAACATGTTAGATCAGTGTCAAGTTATTTTTTCGAATCATGTGGCCATTCGCGTACAATATCATTCTTGTAATTTAATCCACAGTAATATAGATAATATATAGATATCGAATATAGTTTATCTGGAAGGATTGTAAAATATTTTAAAATGAATCCTGTTGGTGCCTCTTTTAAGTCGAGACAGTGTCACGAAAGACATGGAGAGAATACGATGATTTTGCATAATCCCCTATGGTGCCCCATTGATTTTATGTCAATTTTTAAAAAGTCCACTTTTCGAATGCTCCAGGAACCTTGGATATTGCAAATACTCTTAAAACAACTCATAAACTGTGTTTTACTAAACCGGAAATTATCGAGCAAATCCCGGAACCTTATCTCGGTCATAAAAACAGCATCGAATAATAATTCGATCGAAAGATGGATCAGAAATTTTGTCATTTTCAAGAATTCGATTGCATATAACATTATCGGCGCCCTCGCTTCAAAAGTTCATCTATTCCAGGAACTTCGAGTTTTTAATGGATCGCGCAAAATAACTTTCAACCCATATTTAGACGGTGTGTCCCTAGGGAAATTGGACATCCCGATTGATTAAGTCACACCAATATGTACATCAGTGAATATTTGACAGTAGAGCATCCCCGACCTCCGCCAAAACAGTGACTATGAATGGGAAAGTGTTTTACAGGCATGATTATAGATATATATATGTAATAAGATGTCCTGGAAAAATCAACAAAGTTACATGAGAATAAAATATAACAAGGCACGAACGGGATTCGAACCCCTGACCTCCAGTCACGATATATATGGTCGCTCTAACCGACAGAGTGACCTGATCCGTGTTAGCTCATTCATCCATTTAATATTGTGTTTTAGTCTTTTTATGATCGATGAAGAAACATCATTAAAATAAGTGTAAGTATCCATCCTGAGTATGTGTGTTGGTATTACTCTAGCACTGTCACAAACCAAACCGGATATAGACTCCCTAATGAGCCACGTGCTAATACCGAATTAGACAAGAGTTTTAATGTAATTACAGTTCCCACCACGGTGTTTACCTGCTATGAGTATCAAAGATTGACGTCACGTAAAGCCACTGGTGTTATTAGTAAGCTGTTATATGGTATCAGCTAGATTAAGCCTCGTAGAAATCGGCGAGTTGCTTATCTGTGATAAACAAATGATAATGCACTACTTTACCAGAAAACCAATTGATTAGTAGCTCAAGCAATTTGCAGCACTAGCTAGCGACGTTATTGTTTCCGTATGTGATACAGTTGGCCTGTTTCATAGGAAGAACTACCTGTTATTGGAAAACGTTTACTACAGGACCATGTTATACAGTATAAGACGTACTGACGAGGAGGGAACACCAGTTTTAATAGAGCCGCTGGGGAAATGTGATTTGTGCAGTACATAATATATAATATATTGCAGTGTATTTTGTTCGAGCAATATGTAAGTTACAATCCATTTATGTGTGAAGCATATACAGTGCCGGGTTACATGTCGTTATCTTAGTCTGCACCGTTCACAACATTTTCTTCTCGTTCACATGATTTATGTTATTTTTTTAATGAAATGTCCAAAGATTGTTAAATTTACTGGTTATATTTGTCTTGTAGGAAACAACGTAAGGAACTTGCTGGAAGGAGCATTTGAACATATTCAAAAAATTGGATGGCATCGTCATTTCAACACAATGTTGCATCTATGTGCCGCGAGGAGTCGCTATTAGTATCGGATACTGGTCAATGTAATCTCCCGCCTGTCATTGAGTGACGTCATTACTACGTCAGAGACGATTCAAACGAACGTTACGCTCACATATGAATGACGCCAACATCTCTATCGGCAGGAACTGGTCCGCCTGTATATTGCACACGTCGGCGCTCAGATCTGAGAATGACACCGACTCGGCTACAAAACAGTTCCCCGACGACGCGGATTTACCAGAAGGTGCCGAAATATTTCTAGGCCTGCTCCTAGTATGCATGATAGTAATAAGTTTCCTGGGAAACTCTGTGGTGTGTTTTATCGTTTATCAAAAGTCGGCTATGCGGTCAGCCATTAATCTTCTTCTCACCAATATGGCGTTCAGTGACATATGCACAGCGACCTTCTCCATGACGTTTTCGTTCTCAGCATTGTTCTGGAAGGAGCACATTCTAGGTCCAGAGTCGTGTAAGGTAATGCTCTTCCTGTTGGACACGTTTGTGTCTGTGAGTGTCTTCATGATCCTCACCATCAGCATGGACCGATATATGATCATTGTCCAGCGAAAAGACCGACTAACAACGTGTCGAGCCAAGATGCTGATGATCACGTCGTGGCTCGTTTCTATGGCGATGGCGTTTCCGTCGACAGTTGGATGGGGTGACTACAAATTCGTCCGAAGTCATACAATTTGTCGTCTCACATTTGACGGTCAAGCAAATGATGTTGGTTTTATGATTCTCAAGCTGTGTGTAACATATTTCCTCCCTGTCGTGGTGATGACATTCTCGTTCATACAAATATTAGGGGCTGTTCGTAAGAACAAATGCAGGGTTCACAACCACCCGAACATGGATTTCAGTGTCAGTGTTATCAGTAACAATGGAAGGCTTGGTATACCTGTCTTACAAAGGTCGTTTAGGGTAAGCCTCGATATGAGTTTTAAAACCAGAGCATTCAAAACCATCCTCATACTCTTTATCACGTTTGTTCTGTGTTGGACACCGCACGCGCTAAATACAATAATTTCCCAGTACCAGGGGACGGTTAGCAGGACGAGACACTTGATTCTCTTGTGGGTAGGATATGCAAATAGTGCTATAAATCCCATAATTTATAGTATTAGGATAAAAAAATTCCGTCAGACGTGTGGTATGTGGTTCCCCAGTCGACTTAAAGCGCGGACGAATATGACAAGTGTTACTAAGCGTAGGGTTAACCCCAGCGCAATGTACGAGTTCCAGGAACCGTCCAACACATCCAACTGACCAATCGGAACTGTAGGCTTTTACCAAAAAAGATATGCGTTTCAGGTTTCTCTACCCTTAGTTGTTGACTCCATCGAAAGCGGCTATTTAACCAAGGACACAATATGTCTAACTATCTGATCAGAGTGTTGAGTTTATCAAAATCATTTTTAGAGAAAACTTACTACAATACGTTTGTTTGTTACCGTGCGTGTCTTGACAAGAACCCTGATAAGTCTAAACAACGTTATGAAGGTTTGTCCTTTGCTTTCCTGCCACTTCTTTATTTTTGTACATGATCGGCACATAATGTAATACACTTTTTGTTTTGGTGACTTTGATTTGAAATGCTCTCTTCAACATTTGTCGCAGAAGTTGAGTTATAAAGATATCTGGGTTTAATATGTGATGTATGTAAACCAATATCATTATTAAGCTGTGTTGGAAAAATTTTTGAACGTNAAAGCTCCGTCGTACAGGCCTAAAAACCTATTATTACACCTCTACTTTATTTACTTTATATAAAAGTAATTGGTTAAATCGAGTATATCCCCACTTTTGCCTGAGTGTGTTTTAGTCCTTTGTGTTAGTCTGTGAACTAAAACACACCTACACTCGGGTGTTTCCGCAGAGCCAATCAGGCGAGAGGTGGGCGGAGCTTGTTTCCGAACTCGGCAGTGACGCGCGAGGTGGGCGGAGCTTGCTGCCGAGCTCGTAAGCATTTGTCTCCATTGCTATCAAAAGGGTATTTGGGACGTGAAGCTATTCCGTCTTTGCGTATTGCAGAGTTATCTTCTCTTGGGAGCAGGTGTTGATTGTTACGTCATTGGTTTGTGTGAGAAAATTACGTCGTTTTCTCAAAAGTTGATGACGTTACTCTCACAAACAAGTGACGTAACAATCAATACCTGTTCCCAAGAGAAGATAACTCTGCAATACGCAAAGATGGAATACAGTTTATGGTTCACAAATATGTTCTAGTCAAAACTATCTCTCCAGTGTGTATCGGTATAATAAAACGGTTAAAGTATGGGGTTGAGGCATATATAGCAAGTTTCTGGTGTCCCGAGACCAGGTCTATTTCCCGAGGCGAAACTTGCTATATCCCTCAACCCCATACTCTATGTACTAACAGATGTCGCTATAAACCAAGAACTGTTGCACGTGGCCGTTTTCCAATCGGAAACTGTTCGGGTCTTTTCGCCATACTGTTAATTATCCATTGACCAATTACGGTGTAACGTCAAATTCAAATTATGACTGAATTTCTGGAATGTTTTCATATTGAAGTTCGACATCGGTAAATATTGAAAACATTATATTATTCCCGAAAAAAAGTCTGTTCTACCATTTGACAAAACATTCTAAAATTTATCATGAATCGAAAGAAACCACTCAGAAAGTTGAAAGATTAAATTACACTTGTATTAATTGCGCTATGCAGTGCAACCGATAATGGCTACCGTGCATCGTGGAGAATATGTCTAAATGGAACTTTGTTGAAAACAATCACAGATATAAGTGATTTACAATTTACATGTATGTATGCAGCAAGATGTTAGTGATTTATATGTATGTATGCAGCAAGGTGTTAGTGATTGACGTGTATGTATGCAGCAATGTGGTAATGATTTACGTGTATGTATGCAGCAATGTGTTAGTGATTTACATGTATGTATGCAGCAAGGTGTTAGTGATTTACGTGTATGTGTGCAGCAAGGTGGTAATGATTTACGTGTATGTATGCAGCAAGGTGTTAGTGATTTACGTGTATGTATGCAGCAAGGTGTTAGTGATTTACATGTATGTATGCAGCAAGGTGGTAATGATTTACGTGTATGTATGCAGCAAGGTGTTAGTGATTTACGTGTATGTATGCAGCAAGGTGTTTGTGATTTACATGTATGTATGCAGCAAGGTGGTAATGATTTACGTGTATGTATGCAGCAAGGTGTTAGTGATTTACGTGTATGTATGCAGCAAGGTG